GAAAAAAAATAAAAATATGTTCCTTAACTAAAAAAAGAATCCTGATTTTGAAACAATAAAACATGAATACCAGTAATTTTTAATAGTTCTTTGTGAACATTATTAATAAGACATCGATAATTAAAGGATGGCAATTCTATTTAAAGTTGGGGAGAAAAAACGGCAAAGTCCTGTACATTTATACAACATGATAGCAGTTGTTCTTAAGCTGTTTGAGGTTTAACTCTACTCCTGGATTCTCACTGAAACCACAGATGTCTCTTTGGAACGCTATGATTTTATACTGGTTCATTTACACTCTCAAAGCTTCCCCAGCCTGCAACCCATGACCAACCCATTACCATAATTAAGAACTTTTACAGTTCCCATGTACTAGAATGGCTGTATTAAAAAAGACAGAAAACATAGGTGTTGGTGAGGATGTAGAGAAACTGGAACATGCATATCATTGTTAGTGGAAATGTAAAATGTTACAGCCACTTTGGGAAACAATTTGATAATTCCTCCTTTGACACTGAGTTATTATACTTTCTATTTGCTTCTCATTCTCAAGATGATAACTTTTTCATCAGAGTCTCCTCTAAAAGAATCTGAAAGCAAATCATGTTTGCATATGACCTTAATTTAACAGAACAGAGTAATTATACACAGCCATTGGCACTTAGTCTCAAGCAGACAAAAATAATTGTTTTTCTTCCTGTCATCTCTAAAATATAGCACCAAAAAACCCCCTATCAATTTATAAAACAAATGATATATCTTGCCTCCTATTATCAAATAATGAGGCCAGCCCTGCTGTAGAAGTATCACAGTGGTTGAGAGCATCAGCTTTGGAATCAGGACTATTTTGAATGCAGGGCACCTCAACTATTATTGTATAATCTTATGAAAGTTATTTAGTTCTCCCTGGGCCACTATTTTCACTTCTGTAAGTTAAGAATTGCAATATGTATACCAGAGTGTTGTTATAAATATTAAATAAGAACATTCTCCAATGGATCTGCACAGTGATGGCCAAATAATTAGTGCCCAGTAAATACACTTATTTGTAATAACAAATCATATTTATTCTTAACCCTGGTGTTGAGGAAGTTGGGAATGCATTCAGGGCAGCATTGACAATGTCATCAGTGCCAGTCATGGGTTCTTGGGCCAGTTATTTCCTCCTCTCCAAGTCTCAGCCAACTCATCTTCATCCCTAAGGTCCTTTCTGGCAACACTCCATCATAGTAGTTGTTCAATATTCATGGCTGACACAGCCCTCTTTGTCTCTGGCATAAAACTTACAACTTCTAAAATACATGCATTTTGACCAAGATCCAGTGATGGTATGCTTTACTATGATACAATGATTTCCAAGTTTCAGTACTCAACAAGGAATCCAATGTAATATAAATTACAAATAAATGAAGAAAAGTAAATATATTTAACACACTTTTTTTTAAATTGAAACTCTGGGAATGGAAATGTGATAGTCTTAACTGATTCCATATAATTTTAAAAATCGTACCAACCACTTTTTAGTTGTTCACCTCCAGATCAGTTATCATAATTGGTAGTAGATAGTTCAGAATTTACTGTGATTTTATTTGCATATGAAACAAACAAAAAGTAGAAAGCAAAAAAAAAAAAGATCTAAACATGAATGTAGATGATTCATAAAAATAGACACTGGACCACTATATCCTTGAAAACCAAATGGATACAGATGGTTAAAGCTGATCCTAGATGAATCACTGATTATGCACTGGAAAGGCCACTTTTTTTAAAGAAACACATGATGATTAATCATTTTAAATTTAATGCCTGAAGCCCTTCAGATGTATCCAATACCTGTTTCACAGAGAGCTCTAAATGCGCTCTGAACATAAAAACAACAGGAAACATAAAACTAGTCTTTACCATTCAGATAGATTAGTGTTTAAAGTATTTTTCACTGTGAAAGTTTCATGGAGTGATAACTACATAAAAAAGATCAGAAATAGTTTGGTGTGTTACTGAGCACAGCGTTTCCCCTTCACCAATATTGTGTTTGTATTTGGTCTTATCAGATATTTAGTCAATCACTGAAACATTTATTCACAGCCAGTCAATTATAACTCCAGGAAATCAGCCACTGAATAAACTGTGCTATTAATTTTCCATCAGAGATTCATGTTTGAATGACCATGCATTTCATAGATTTAAATACCGAAAGGCTAATTATCCCAGAGGCCCCATTAAATGGATAGCATGGATTGCAATAAAAAACAATCCTAATATTGCTCGAAAATGATATTCAGCTTCTAGTTCCGAAGAATAATTTCTTTACCTATTGTTCACACTGAGCATGCACACACACACATATACATACTTGCATGCGCACACACTTACACATCTCCTAAAGCATTTTCTTTTCTAAATCCTTAGAAAAACAAATCTTAACAGTTTCTTATAAACAAAGATTCACTATTTTATAAGGTAAAATACAAATTACAATTTTAAAATTTCATCTTCTCAGTCTCTTTGATGTTCAAATTATTTTTTAAAGGACTTTCACAAAATGCCCTTGTTGTTCTAAATGACTTTAAATCCAGAGTAAAACTCACCCACAGACACAAAGTACTATTATTTTTTTAATCTGTGTATTTTGTTGTTGTTGTTGTTTTGTTTGTTTTTTAATTGCTCACTCTGCTTAAAAAGAAAAAAAAAAAAATCCTGAGAGTAAAAGTAGTAAGAATTGATTGAGGTTCAGGAATATGCTACCCCCAAATGCACCCTGGCATTTGAGAAGAGAGCAGAGGTAGAAAGGTTACTTTCACCTTCCCCCTGTCCTTCTTCCCTGAAGCACCTCATAAAAGTAAGAAAGAATTTTCTGACCTTTCTCTGAAGCAGGTCGTAATATCTTCATTTGGGAGCTGCCCTCACTATATCCCAAGAAAAGAGCTCAAAACAGAGATGCCAGAAGAATCTTCAGAAAGGGTCCTTGCCTGAGTTCCCTTCAATTTAGTGACATTAGCTCACACTCCCTTAGTCCAATCAGACATCTCCAGGACTGTCTACTCTCCAGCAAACATAGCATTAAAACCAAAACCAAAACAAAAACAAAACAAGACAAAAATGCACAGGAGGGCTGGGGGAAACAGCTTGGCACTAGAGCACTTATTTGCCTAGAATGTGTGAGGCCCTGGGTGCTGGATTCCCAGCACTTCAAAACAAACAAACAAAAAACAACAACAAATGACAAAATAAAGCCGAATAGGTTTCCCTGCTTATTCAGGTCTTCACTACCAAAGGCTCCTGTGTCAGGTAAAAATTATAAATTTGTATGTTTCCTTGTTAATCTATCTTTTGTTAGAGAGGCCCTAGCAATGAGACTAGGGATGAATGGGTAAAGAAAAACAACAACAACAAAAAAATCTGGGCTGGGATTGTGCCTCAGTGGTAGAGTGCTTGCCTAGCATATGTGAGGCCCTGGGTTCCATCCTCAGCACCACATAAAAATAAATAAATAAAATAAAGGTATTGAGTCCAACTACAACTAAAAAATATTTTTTTAAAAAATCAACTTTCCTCCCCTATATAATCAAATGATGCTGTAAGAGTTTGCACCTCTACAAATTAAATGACTTATAGGGTGCACTTGTCATGGGTTCTTGTGTTGCTGAGGAGACATGGAAAACATCAAATCCAATCCAAGTGATCAGTACTAAACTATAACTAAAGAAAGTCTAATCTACTCAACAACACTTTATGCAATCTGAAGCGCTAATGCACTAACATTGATCAACCAGTATGTTCTACTGGAGAGTTACACCCTAGGAAAGGGACTGTTTTGGTCTTGTTCACTAATACTTTTGAAGAAATGATGGATTTCATGTATTAAATTTAAAACTGGTACAGCTGTAAGAAAAAGAATTTGCCAACCGGAATTAAGTAAATAATAATAGATAGTACACAGAGATAGCTCCATTCATTAAAGTGTTTATGGTACTATGCTTTTTACAAACTAAACTTTCCCCCAATGCCATCCAGTTCTTTTTGCTATGGTTTTATGATCAATAATTGACTTCCTAAATACAAATTCAATTATTAGTTCTATACTACCCCAAAAGATAGTATATGGAGCTATTTAGATTATTGGAAATATACAAATGAAAAAAATTGAAATTTAGTATCTACATCAACCTAATCTCTTCAGAGTTTTGCTTTAAACAAAGTCAATACCCCTATATTATATTCAGTTGTCAATAAACTTGATAAGGTTTAGCTTTAATCTGTCAATCTTACAACTATTAACCATTCAGGGCTATTCTTTATATATGCACATTGTTGATATGTACATAGAGAATCAAGTTAACAGTTGCACAGTTCCATACTTCAGTACTTCCTACCCTATTTCCTTATTTAAAAAAACAAAAACAAAAAACCTGGAAGCTTGCTCTTGGAATTGTTCTCTTTTACATAAAAACTACAAATAATTGGAAATTAAAACATATTAGCTGGATAAAAATTACATTTTCATTGGAATTAACATGTTTGTAATGATAGGGTAAGATAGTCACAAGCATTCCTTGAGTCAATAAATAGTTCCATTTTGGAACAGAAGTATAATATTTCAAGTAGGACTCTTTTTTGTCTTATATGCCTTTCAGCATCATTTTTGAGTGACTTGCTACTCAATGTATGAATGAAATGTTTTCATACCTACCTCTATGCAAAACTAGAGATCTGTATATTGCACCCAACTCACCTCTTAGTGATGATCAGTATGTTCACACCTCAAGTGGCAACCTCCTTCTTAGTCTGTGTTCCTCTTGTTTGACAGAACATTGGCACTGCTGATTTCTTTTTAACACATATGCTTTCTTATGTCTTTCCATTCCCACCCTTCACACCCTCCCTGAAATTCCTTTAGTTCAACATGGTAGGCTATTATTTTTCTATTAGATGTCAATACATGCCATCACCAACAGAGACAATTCAACAACTTAACACATTTATAAAAACGCAGAAAGTACCTGGACATAGGCTCTGCAAGAGCGCTCTCTTTTCTGAAGCTGAATCCATTAAGACAGCAGATTAAACACAGAATAGAAAAAACAAGTTAGTGACAGAAGAAAACAAGAAAAATAAAAGAACACATCTACACAAAACACCTTATTTTTTTCCCCCACTACTTTCTAGAAGAAAATGAAAGCTAAGCAGTAGCAAAATGTAACCAGCGGCTTGAAATACAGTAGCCAATACCCTTTCAGAATAACCCCAGTGAGAACTGGATGGTATAAAGCTGTTAATGATAGAAAGAAAATTTCTGAATATGTTTAGTAGAAATTAGTAAAAACCAATGTAACATACTTTATTTATTTGAAATGATCCATTTCACATCGGGTTAGTTATTAGTTCATGGGCCACAAATTAAGACATAAGAAGTTAAGTAAATTATGTCAAAAGTTTGGAATCCCCCCCCTTTTTTTAAAGATAGCAGATTATTTGTGGTTTTCAGAAAATAGAGATGGTTAATATGTACAACTTATTAGATGTTCATTTATATATACAAAAATTCTGTTTACTGGCAAAATATAAATGCCTATTCATTATGACTATTCAATTCTAAGGGACAAATACCAAGAGATAAATATCTTTTGATAAAAAGAATATAATTAATCTTTTGACTAGTCACTTTTATTTCTTGAAGAATGTCTTTTGACAATTTTGACCAAAAAATTATACACTTTAGAAACTTTGGTGGGAAAAGAACCCTGTTGTTTGCTTTTGTTGGTTTGAATACAAAATTATGTTTTTCCGGGCAAAAGTTGACAGTAACTTGTATCAGTCCCAAGCATTTTTTTTTCTGGTGCTAAAATGAATAATCAATAATGATTTATTCACCCTGTTTATAATTGACCCAGAATTTTATTAAATTAGACTGTGGGTTTTCCCCATCTTTCCTACTGTTTCTCTTCCCTCTTCAGTATCCTTGATTATTGAAAAAGGAAATGACCCAGGTTTAAGAAGCAGTTATTGTGATGGCTTTTTGTGTAGCTAATACTTTCCCCACTCTAATTCATGCATTCTTCAAGGAGCATGGAACTTGCTCCTCTAAAGATTTAATGAGGAATAAGTGCAAGTAAATTGCCAATGCTGTCATCTGGATCACTGACTCGAATTGCGGTTTTGCAGAACTCTGGACCCTCCAGAATTTCAATGTGGAGCACAATTGATTTGTACCAAGTTGACTTTGCAAAACTGATGGGTTATAACTGCTTCAGGGAAAGTGGGAACCACAGGAAATGAGAGCAAGCCAGCAAGCACGTGAATAACCTTTGCCCTCCCATCTCCTTACCCCTTCATGCAAATTAACATATGACAAACCACATTATATAAACAATTGAAAAGAGCCAAATGGGAAACAAAGAGAGCATTAAAAAGCCTCACAAATGGAAATTTGCCCATTATGTAGTTATTTGATATTCAGAAGAGGCAAGCTGATTAGCTGTAGCCAGTTAGAATGTGACATTAATTGCCAGCTGTACGTGATATCCTCAGACACCAACACCATTTTTAAATAAAGATACAAAGTATCACTATAACAAGTCATGTTATGGACCAGTAACATTAATAGAAATCACTACTTCCAGTGCATTATGATAACAATAGCTGGCAGCAATATTCATTAATAGCATCAGTCAGCCTGGGTAATAACACGTTAAAACACAGCATGCTCAGATTATATAGGCAGCTGTGGATTATTCTATCAGGGATCTGGTTGTGATTCCATCAGGATATATGTGAGAAAAAAATGACTCCTTTGTGAAAAAAAACTTAAATAAATTGCACCGTTTTCTGAAGATAAAAATGCAGGACAAACCATTTCCCAGGTAAAATGTCTGGCCTTTCTATGTTGAACAATCATTATTCTAAAAATTTCTTCCATCTTCTTGAGTAACAGTCTTAACCCAGTAAGACTAAAATAATGAAAAGAACTAAAACACATTAAAATACAACTCTACAAAATCATTTTTCAATCTAAAGGGGAATGTCCTTGTAGTGAATATCACAGAGGAAAATTAGTCTCTTACAGTCCAATTCTTATCTTTACGTAGAAAGAAAATATCTTAATACTCAAGGCCCTAAATTCAATCATTAAGAATCTCTATTACACAAATGCCATTCAAGAAACATTGTCATTTGATGGTGGCAATTCTAATATTTTTTTCATTAGGAAGTTATTTTACCATGTGATATTTTGTTATGTAAATCAATAATATTCTTGATATCATAAACAAAATGCTTTATATAAATACTAATAAAATTTATAAAGTATATTTTCCTTAAATTTAAGATGTTATTATTTTTCATTAATTATAATTCAAACAAATTTGCTGAAATGTACTTTAAAATTTTTAATGACAGTGATGCACAATCCAAGTAATATGAAAATCAAAATAAAGTAAAAATTACCACTTAATTATTTACCACCTATTTTTAAAATTAATATGAATTAGGTAAAATTACCACATTTTAAAACAGCTATATGGATTATCAGTATGCTCTCATTGTTATTTTCTAAATTTCTACTTATTGATTAGACACTTATTTTATTGTCAATTTTTAATATGAAAGTTTGAAGACAAAAAGAGAAGAAAAAAATTGCATTTATCCATAGTAATCTTGCCAGAATTTAGTGTGCAAAGCAGAGCAATTACTTTGGAAAAAGTAAATTCAAAATACATGCAGAGGGATTATCATTTATTGTTTCTTTAAATTAAAACCCAAATAGTGTCATTATTAAAATAGTGAAGTCATTTGAATATAGTTATTGATTCTCTTTAGCATTATCTGGCTCTACAGAAGAAAGAAAAGTTAAGAAAGGAAGTCTTACTGATTTTACTACAATTTTAAAAGTTGAATAGCTGATATCCTTACCTTGTTCAAACTGCGGGCAGCACTGTCCTTTCCACCTGGCGTCAAGTTCCTGAGCTGGACATCAAGGAGGCCTACCAGCTGGTCCATGGCCCGGACTGAGTAGGTGATGTCCCCAGCATTCAGGTGATTCCTGGTCTGTTCAGCTAGTTCTCTAGCTATATTGGCAGCTGTCTCTCCAGATTTCAACTGTGATTTTGAAACAGAGTAAAAAGGAAAGAGATCTTACGTAAACATTTTTAGTGGTCTCTTCTTACAGATGTATTTACATGTAAGTTTGAAACATTGAAGCAAGAAGCAATTAATATACTCCATCTGCACCTGATTGCAACTCCCCAATTTTTCCTATTAATTCATCCTTTCTTCAGAACTTGACTTAAATTCATGACTCTAAGAAGTTATCTCTAAGGAAATATACTTGTAAAAATTGTCACCCTTCTGATCTACTGATTCATTTGACTGGTTAAGTCTAAGATTTGCCCTATTATTTTTTTCTGTAAGTTTCTAAATAGGAATTTGAAGAGTGTTTATTATGAGTCTAAAATCATACTCTAAGTTCTCATAGGCAAGTGCCTAGTTTAGCACTTAGTAAACTAAGCGACTAGTAAATAAATTTACTAAATATTAGTGAATTCAAAGTGAACTAAGTGAATATTTAAAGTTGCTAAAGCTTTATAAAAATTTTATCCCAAATACAACTCCTTCTTTCAAAGTGATTTTTTAAAAATATTTACTTTTTAGTTGTAGTTGGACACAATATCTTTTATTTATTTATTTGTTTATTTGTTTGTTTGTTTTTATGTGGTGTTGAGGATAGAACCCAGGACCTTGCCTGTGCTAGGGGAGCACTCTACCACTGAGTTAAAACCCCAGCCCTCAAAGTTATCTTCATCTTCCCACTAAATACATGATAAAAATTTTTCCTTCCCATTCACAGAATAGCAAATTACTCTTTAGTTTCTAGTGTTTTCCTTTTCTGAAAGTACATGCTGATTTTCCAAATACATTGTATAAGAATGTATCAAATTGTTAATACTTTGAAGATGTTAAAAGATATAAAGACTAATGCCCCATGATCATTTGGACAAATTTGATAGCCCCAGGTAATAAGAAGATAGGAATATACACCAATTTGTAAGACAGGTTTGGGAAATATTTTTAAAAGACAAATAGGCATAACTTTCCAGGTTATAATCTTTTTTTTTTTTTTTTTTGAGCTAGGGATTGAACCCAGGACCTTGTGTATGTATGCCAAGCACTCTACCAACTGAGCTATATCCCCAGCCCCCAGATTATAATATTTATAATTTTTAATATATATTTATTAGTTGTAGGTGGACATAACACCTTTATTTTTCTAAATTTTTATGTGGAGCTGAGGATAGAACCCAGTGCCTCAAGCATGCTAGGCAACCACTCTACCACTGAGCCACAAACCTAGCTCAATCTTTAACTTTTAAAATTAACAAGCTAAAACAGGATTGTAACTTATTTGCACATTAGATATGCAAGTGCTCAATGTAAAAATAATGACTGTTTGTATACAGGCCCACTTTTCAGAGACGTTCTATAGATGTCCACCCAAACTTTAACCTGCCTCATTATTTTCAAATAAATAATAGTATTATTATTTAAGAATTGGTTTTCTTTTTTCTTTTTTTGTAAGGTAAATCAGTATAAAGCATATGATCACAAATAGGAATATCTTCACTTTGTAAACTCCCTCTTAAGAGTACATGGAGCCCAGCATGGTGGTGCACACCTATCCCAGTGGTTCTGGAGTCCGAGGCAGGAGGATTACGAGTTCAAAGCCAGCCTCAGCAAAAGTGAGGCACTAAGTAAATCAGTGAGACCTTCTCTCTGAATGAAATACAAAATAGGGCTGGGGATGTGGCTCAATGGTTGAGTGCCCCTTAGTTCAATCCCTGGTACCCACCCCCTCAGGAAAAAAAAAAAGAGTCAATGGAAAGGAGAGCTCAAAGCACAACTAAAACTCTTAGCCAAGTATGTTTTCCCTTCGCTAAGTGAAAACCTCCAGGTTAGTTAGTATTTATATCAGGAGTGAATGTTATAAATGAATAAGTACATAAATTAAAGTAGTTATATAAATTATGTACAATCACATCTTGAACATATTGAAAATACCTAATGGAAAAGTGATGTTTAATAGCAAGGCTATAAAAATGATTATCACCCTATAAACTACTACCATTGAGATTATATACTGAATACCAGTGTCTGAAATTTTGACATGTGAACACTCTATAACTCTCAAATTTCTCTTTCTTATCAGACATAAGAAATGATCCCAGAGAGGACTGGGGATATAGTTCAGGGGAAAAGTGTGTGCTTAGCTGTATAAGGCTCTGCATCCAATCTTCAATATCCCTTAAAAACCAGACAGGGCAGATCTCATAATTAATCATAGGGAGAACCGTAGAGGAAAGGGTTCAAGGGGTATGAGGTGAGGAAGGAAGGGCACAGCACTGGGGAGTGATGTTGGCCAAGTTACATTATTATATTGTGTGCATGTACAAAAATGTAATAACAAATTCCATCATTATGACCAGCTGTAATGCACCAATAAAAAATATGAGAAAAAAAGGATAGAAAAATTAAAGCAAAAAGAATCCTATAGTTGTACAAAAAGAAATGTTAGTTTGTGTGAATGGCTTATGATTATATAAATCTGCTCAGGTGTATATACCTCATGCAATAGTTTAAAAGTATGAAGGAAATCATCGATACTGCTAACATCAATCTTCATTATTTAAGAAGTTTTATTACAACATACTACTTATGCCCAATGAGAAATATATAAAATAATTTAATATGTATAGAATGGTACCTAAAATGTGAGAAACAAGAGAAATTCTATATGACTATTTAAATGTCATCAAAATATATGATGTAAGAATATATTAAAGTGTTATTATATACTTAATCAGTATGTTGTAGAAATCTTTAAAAATAACTTCACTGAGTTAAAGCAATTTGTAAGATTCTTTAGAATCTTTTTAGCTAAAGTACGTGCTAAGACCAAATAGACAAAGTTATAGGGTTCAAGCATAAGTATGACACAAATTTAGTGTAGATCAAAGTAGCACTTGATGTTGCCCTCATGAAAGTACTTTAGGGGATCACGAAGGGACATAAATGTGATTATTATACATATATTTAAATTTTTACATAAAATTTAGGATTACTGGTAATTTGGAGAGTCCATAAACAAATTCTAAAGTTCAATATGTTGGGGATGCAGCTCAGTGGTAGAGCTCATGCTTGATAAACTGGTACATTCTAAATATTTAAATTCAGTATTCTGTCAATAGTGTGAATACTTGATTCAACCAGTGGGTAACTTTGCAAAACTACTACTGTTTTTTTTTTTATCAAGATAGTTGAAATTATTATAATTTCCAAAGAGACATTCTTGTAATTAATGCACCATTCACAGTCTTACATTTGTTGTAGTTTACTACAGATTCTACTCTTATAATAAGGAGTATATTTGCAGAATTACTACTCTTTTATTTTGTCATTGTATACTTATGTTTTTGTTATTTTACATTTTCCCCTCCATTTCTTTGTTATCAATGAAACCTTTTATATCAGGGAAACATCAGGAGAGACGAACTATGGGATCTTTTGATTCAAATAATTGTATAATAATGAAAAAAGTTTGAAATCTAGTAAACTAGACAAGGTATTTTATTTATTAACATAATATCTTCAGATATCTTCAGATCTAAGGATGCTTGTATTGACTTTCATTACATCTATCAGTGATCATTATGAAAAGTGCGATGATTTATCAAAGGATAAATAAGAGATAAAGAGCATTGATATTTTCATAATTCCATTACTTTTTTTCCTAATAGTTTTACAAGCATACTCTTCAACATTATTATAATAAAGGTGTGGGAAATAATAAGTTGGAAAGAAGGCCTATGGTATTCTCTTACATAAAACTTAAACTTTTTCTACGTACAACATTGAAAAATTGAAAATGTAGATGACTAAGTCAAAATATATTTGCTCCCAACAAAACAATTTTATTTGTTTGTCTCCTTGTGTATGTGTCAATAACAATTTAGCTTTTAAATAGCCTGAAACTCAATGTTCAACACCAAGAAAGTTGTGAGAAGAAAACTGAAGTATAAATACATTACAAAAATATGTATAAAAAACCATGAAAAGTAAATTTTTAAAGTAAAATAGAAATTCTTTTTTACTTTTTCTTCACTTTAAAATTAGAGAAATGATAATAAAATGTTTTCATTCTTTTAATAATTACTTGAACACTTATTATTTCCTGAGGAAGTGAAGATGAGTATACTTCCCTGGCCCTCAGGAAGCTTACATTCCACCAACTGGGATAGGAAAGGTGGTTACATAGAAGAAAATAATATTAATTCAACAGTGCAGCAGCAATGACATAAACATTATGAGGTATTATAAGAACACAGTACAGGGGAAAGAAATTCTTGGAAAGCAGAGTGAGGACCACAGGAGACAATTAAGTGAAGCCTTAAATGATAATTGAGGGTCACTAAGTGAGATGGGGCACTGGTGTGGCTCTTGGGGAGACAGGACATTCTAAGCCAAGAAGATGGTGAGCAAAGTCAAGCCTAGAAATAGCCATGGACTGGGAAGTCAGAGCAAATACACAAAGAAAAAAAAAAGCATTTTTTCTATCATCAGACTCCAACATTGATACCTGCATAGCATAAACTTGTGTGTTATGTACTAAATACTTGTTACAACTAGTTTTCTAAAAAAATAGAGTATATATATATATATATATATATATATATATATATCTTTCTATAATTCCAACAACTGCTCACTTAGTCTGTATGTTCACTTGTTATATAACCAACATTCTAATTTCTATAGCTCTGTGCTAAGGTCTGAAGGCACCTTGGTGAGGTGAATATAACAGTTTTTAATAAAAGGACCTTCCAGGAGCAATGGTGCATGCAGACAATCCTAGAGACTCTGGAGGCTTAGGTAGGAGAATTGCAAGTTCCAGCATCACCAACTTAGTGAGACCCTGTCTTAAAATAATAAGAGAAGGGCTGGAGATGTACCTCAATGGTAGAGTTCTCTTAGGTTCAATCCCCAGTACTCCCCAACAAACACACACACAAAAAAAAAGAAGAGAAAGAAAACAGACCTTTCATGCC